ATGTGCCGACGACTAGGCAACATTTCAATATTGCAATGACAGTCGTTGTGATACCTTTTGTAATTTTACGGTTGTCAGTTGAATAAATGACTTATTTAATTCAATATTGAACGAGTATGTCGATTTTCTATTATTACTGTAGACAAGAAAAAGATTGTTTAGAAAAAGTTTTTACTGTATTATAGTTGTAGCATTAATGGATGAGCTTAACTGAAGGAAGGCAACATTACCACGACATACCATTAAATATCGTAGCGTGCTGTGTTTCTTATGGTGACTGACGAGGACAGATCATTTATAATTTTATCATAGGGGAACAAACAAGCACACAATCAACCTATTGGTTAGCGGATAGGGTGGTCCATAGACACCAACATCTATCATCAAAAAATGGGGATGCGCTATCACTCCTCCTGTTGGTTATGATGGAATGCCTTGTAATGACTTAATAGGGGCCTAGAACCATAGCCATGAAACAAAACAATAGCATTATTTTAGTGCCAGGAGTCTGTAAGAGCCTGGTCCTCTACCAATCGAGTCGAACCATGTAAAAATTATAAATCATATATAAATTTCATTCGCGAGTGTATTATTCTAATTATGGTTCTTGTATGCTCTTTTGAATTAATAATTGTTCATAACTGAAATAAAATGTATTACTTCAAATATATGTGTATAAAGATGCAACGCAATGCGTGGTAATTACAAATCTATCTAACTTATAAAATCAGCTGCCGCAGAATATTTTTACAGGTCGATTAAAACTATACTGCTTGATTGTTATATAGTTATTTATGTTTTGCTACTGTAATCACATATAATATAAAATTAGATATTTTAGGAAAACCCTATAAGCTCGTGATTTTAAAAATCACAAGCATTAGCTTTTTTACATCCTAATTAATGTCCACTTACACCTACGTATAGGCAACACGTAGGTACATTTAACACTTGAAATTATGCAATTGTCTTGCCTCTGTAACCAAACCTCTGTATTGCACCCAAATTAATTTCAAAGAAATTGTTTAGGTCAAGGTTTTTTTATTGCATTAAATTATTTTTTAACGTGGAAAGTAGTTTATTAACTGTTTAAGACATTGCACGGTGTAATTAATATAATAAAATCTAAAATGTATATCTATATATCTATTATACTATTTAAATAACCCCTTAAACAGCGAACGACCTGAAATATTGCCACACACGGCCTGCGATAAAGGAACACGTCTTGGTTCCAGTGGTCATCACTTAAAACACGCACACATTTGAAAGCTTTTATGGGTTCCAGAGAGTGTCGTAATTTCTCAACGCTATCCAGCAAAAGCAATCCGTTGATTGACCTCTTGGTCATAGTTGAACTTACATAGTAGGATGACATGTGTTAGGTAAACACTACCCGTTTTTCTAGTTCCCAATGACTCCGCGTGCTGAATTCGGGGTTTCGTAGAGCAGGTTTAGGTAAATTCAATTTAATAATTTATGCATACGTTCTTTGAATGTATGAAATATTTACTTACAACATGTAATTTTTGCGTCCAATGAACAGTTGCAGTTGCAATCAAAATTCGAGTGATTGGGCACAAGTAACGGCCGTTTTGCAACCGAGCAATACGCTTGAAGGTGCTAAAAAGCATTAAATCGTGTAACTAAAATTCTTTTATAATACTTATGTCCTACGAAAGCAGTTCACATTGACATTGTATCTGATTTGGTATTTGATTTATTTAAGTTATATTAGTTATTTCATTAACTAGCAGTATATTCAATTTATAACATATACTATAAATTACTTTGAACACGCGAGGAAATACTGATTGAACATTACTTTATTATCAGTAGTAGTTATACGTCGTAGAGCCACGCTGCAGCTATATTATGGTTGTTGCACGAGTGGGTCGGCTTGAACAGGGAAGGACCACGCTCTCACAGAATAACAGTGTAGAATAGCAGCTTAGTACTTCTGTGTTTCGTATGGTGAGTGTAGAGATCCGTAAACCTTTTTTTACTGGAAACGAGGCATCAAGTCTTAGTCATCAGGGATGACAACGCATCAGCGTTTTGATTCTTAATCGAGGATAAATGTAGATGTTTATAGGCCATCCACTTACCATCAGGTGGACTGTGTGCTCGTTTGTCACCCTTGTTCTATAAAAAAAGTATAATTTCATAACCATTATCCGCGGAGAAAGTTGCCTTTAAAGCCTTCTCGTATTCCAAAGGTAACTTTTATATTTTTTTTTCTTGTTCTAAATTTACAAAACCCAAGAGAGCAAACGATAAAAGAGAATTTACCTTTTATATATTTTGAAATAAACGACCCAATAGCCCATTAATGCAGAATATTCCATTTAATACCGCAACTTGTAAACTGTACAAGATATGCGGTAACATATGCTGACACATCCCCACCCTTTATATACAAATAAGCGAAAAGAGTGTTTCCGATTTTAGTATTTAGTTTTTGTCCTATTGGTTTCTATTTTTGTTCAGCAAAGACTCGACTTCAGATACAAGTTTTTTCCAGTTCGGCGACATTTTGCCTACAAATATTGGTACGGCTGGTGTATAGAGTATCACCAATGCTGTCATCCACATTGAAATGAATGTTACCGGTTCGCAACATATCATAGATATGCAGAAGAAACAGCGTTGTTGATAGCACGCAGCCTTGTTGAACACAAGCATTAGTAGGCTTGTAATCGGAACATACGCCGTCTGCTACGACCTTGATGCTCCGATCTGCAAGAAAGCTGGTGATCTAATTGCACAATTTCTCGGGAAGTCCAGTTATATTAGTATTATAGTTATAGCATAAATGGGTCGACTTCACCGGGGATGAACCACGCTCTCACAGAATATCAGCGTAAAATAACAGCTTAACGCTGCTCTGTTTCGTATGGTCAGTGTAGAGAACCGGAAATCCTTTTAACTGAAAACGAGGCATTTCATCTTAGTCCTCACGGATGACAACGTATCTGCATTTTGTAATCTGCATAGATTTAAATGTCTGTGGGCCACAGCAACCACTTACCTTCAGATGAACAGTGAGCTCGTTTGTCACCCTATCCTACAAAAAAATAAATAAGATGGAAGCTTCTAAAGAAGCGCTTTGCGCCAAACCCGATTGAAGGTCTTCTCTATGTCCGAGCTAACTGCTATGGTCTCCCACTTAGAATCAACCGCAGCACCCATCGATGTGTTAGGAAAGCAAGAAGATCAGTTGAGCGACTTATATCCACGGGGAACTACATAAGCTTTGTTACTTTTTATTTTTATTTATATATTCTTATATACGTACCTATATGCGACATGTTTTAATAAGTTTACTGCTGGATATAGACCTCACCAAATCTATCCCCCATCCATTACAGCCTATAAAAGCCCACTGTTGAACATATGCCTCCCGCCCCCATGACTCCTAAAATACTGAACCGATTTTAATCAAATTTGAACACCGTGTGCAGTTTGGTCCAACTTGAGAGATAGGATAGTTTTTTTGGCCGTGAGTGACCCATAACTTTTCATTTTTACGAATTTAAGGATTTTTAATTGGATATGATAAAGGGTTGTCGAAAAGAGCACAACCAAACAAAAAAACAGTAGGCATGCATTATGGCTGTTTCGACTAAGGAATCTAGTCACTGGTTACACGCTTTACCATCAAGTAATCTCGGCATATCACTCGATGGGGAAAGCTTGCGCATCGCCGTAGGAATCCGACTATAAGCGGCGATTTGCCAATCTCATCAGTGTCCCTGTGGTAGCAGCGTCGATGATTTTGGTTACGGCACGGTTCTTTAAACGATGCCATCCAAAGAGCTCTTGTCTCTAAAAATGTTTCCTCGGCTTTAGAACGTAGTTGAATATTTAGAGACGATGGCTGGGGACCGGAAGGTATGACATTGGTCCCTTGAGAGAGAGGTAAAGCCCTAGTATGGTATGCTACTTGCGTAGACACTTTGACAGCCTCAAATCTCAGGGGTATCTCGTTTAGAGTCGGGGCGGTATCAATGGCAGCTGAACTGGGTAAGTGGCGCAAATATCAGTCTCTGAGAGATGATTACACATTTGTACCATTTACTGTAGAGACTATCGGTCTGTGGAGTCCACATGCAGTAAAGTTCATTTAAATTCGGTCATAGATAATAAATTATGATGTTGCGTCAATTCATCAAAAACAAAAAGCGAGAACAAAGTTATGAGAGTTTTTGTATTGTAGCGGAACTCCAAAATATTTCTAAAAGTTAAAGTTAAAGCTACAGCCCATGTATGTCACAGTATGAGGCCTCCTCTCATTTCTGAGAGTGTTTTAGGGCAAGAAAATGTCCACCGCGTCTACGAAATATTTTTTTTCCATTTCTAAGACACGCAGGTTGTCGTGGTAAAAATGGTGGTAAAATGTAATTATTACAAAATTTTAATAGTATTTATAATTACGTGTGGTACTAGAAATAAGGTTCCCATCAATTTTACAAATATACTTTACTATTGTTACGAGCTTAAGGTTCGTGACAATAAAAACTGCCGATTGAATCACCAAAATTGACACTTTAATTACTGAACACCAATTAAAACTTAAATCACACAAATAATTATTCACACTTAACTTCACTTTATTTCACTCCGAAAGCTTCGCTCGTATCACCAATTCAATACTGCACCGGTCGCGGCCCTCAGCGGCTATAAATACGTCTTTTCCACCGAAATATCCAGAATGTTCCAGCAAATACCGTTACCGACCGACTAAGTGCAGAAAGTTCGAGAGTGGACTTTTCTAGAAAGCTTAATTCTTCTATTCGTTACTTGATGGCGCTGTTGGAAGAGTTCTAGAAAGATCTTGACACTCCTATTTCTAATACTTGATACCAGATGGCGCTAGTGCCATCAACTGGGGCGCGCAACATTATCATAGCAATGTATATCTTTAGAAAGAAAACACTTTGCTCTATTGTTTCGACATAGTCGCCACCTTTTTTTACGTAGTTTTGCTGACGGTTCTCTCATTTCTGTATTCCAATTTCGTAGAACTCCGCTGCCAACCCATTGAGGAAGCATTTCACCTCGTTTTTGACTTCATCGTCACACCGAAAGCGTTGGCCATTCAAGTGTTTCTTAAACTTGGGAGACAAGTAATATTCACTAGGTGCGAGGTTCGGACTGTTCGGTGGGTGGGGCATGACAGTCCACACAAAGTGTATCCAAAGGTCCTGGGTTTGACGGAAGACATGAGGGCAGGCGTTGTCGTAAGGCAGCGTTACTTGCAGACGTGTTGAACGGACATACACCTCTGTCAACTGACGATGAATATCCACGGGTGGAATCCCTATGGCGTGCAAAAAGCGAATTACAGAATGAATCTCGCACTTGGTGCGAGCAACAAAGGGCACCTCCATGTCGGACGGCTACTGAGCCTGAGCAATGAGTGGCTGGGTGGAATCGAGAGTGGGAGAACAGCCGCACACAGCAGTGTTGCCGGGTTTCGCCTCACACCATCCCGTGCGGTTGGAGTTCTTTGCGAACATTATTTGTGAATAAACGTTAGTATTTGTCTTTAATAATTTAACAGTTTTAATACTCTAGTCCCGAAATCGGCTTGAAATTCTATTTTAATTGGATCATGGGGCTGATAATACGTAGTATCCCACACCCTTGAAAGTAGCTTCATATTTCCCCGAATTTTTTAATTCCTTCCTGTCTTATCGATTTAGCGTTTTGAATTAGATACTTCGTTAGATTCTCTCCATCTTCACAATATCATAGGATACATTCAAATTTACCCTATGATATTGTGGCAACAACAATAAAATATAAATGGTGATTAATTCAATACACCGTTGAGCGTCTACATAATAATATTGTGTTTTTTTTTAACAAACGTTATAGTCAATCAGTTATCATAGCAGTTGGGTTATTTGGTTCTAAAACAGATTTTTATTCAGGTTGTTTTCCTTCAAATTAATTCAAAAAACAAGGTTAGTGCTTTATTAGCACAGAATTTAAAAGTGAGGATGACGATACCGAAGATCAATCCAAGCTTATTTATGCTTAACTTTTAAAGTGAAACTTTGACCTTCCCTACACAAGTTCTTAGATAACAAAGTAAATATGATTACTTATAAAAAAAATATTACAAAAATTATTATTTAAATAACTATGACGAAAGGCGAAGTCTACGGACTGCTATAAACTTTTGCTCTTCAAAATGTAAATTTACATTAAAATTTAATTTACGTTATACTTTCATATTATATGTTACTAAATGTTGTTAATCAAATCGACATTTCGTTAGAAAAGTAGCTTCAGGAACACGTTTAAGAGGTCAAATGACTGGTTAATATTCATTAAATGTCAATTTAAGGAGTTCGAAATGTTTCACAAGAGTAGGTCATATGCATAAGCGAAACCGGTCGTAAAGCAAATCTGTTGATAGACACATAACAGACAATAAAATGGAGATTATAATAGGTGTCGTTAAAGAAGACCTGTTACTTGTTGAGTGCCTTTAAATAGAGAGACTTAAACTTTACTGCCTTTAGTACCCTTATTAAATTTCTCAGATAATGGCGCATTTCTAAAAACTTGCCCAAATCGAAAATAAGTTTTATTTAAAATAAAATATGGAGTCACAAATAGAAATATGTATAAATAGGTGTGATGATGTTATTAAAATAGTTATCAATATAATTTGCGTGCAAAGCTTTCGCCACGCGGACTCTGCACCATTGAAAATTGATTATGAGCGCCATCTAGCAGCGGACAGTTGAAGACTATCGTTATGATAATTCAAATTTGAATGATTCGATTGTGCGCTAGCTACGATTTCAGGAATTAATAAATTATAAATTTCGTTTGATACATAATTCGATACGACACTTAGAAAGCAAGATGGCCGCCTGAAGGTACTGAAATCGTGAAATACTTAGAATCTCAATAAGCACAAATAACTATATTTTTAACCTAAAGCTTGTTTAATTATTGTTTAGGTTTGAAAGAATTAGAGGCGCGTGTCCGATTTGGAAACTCTGATTTAATATATTAAACTTTTAAATTGATTTAAAGAATAGATTTTCTTACACCAAGCAATCAAGATTTCGATATAATATCAAAATATGTTTACCTAACCTGCCCGTAGTATACATAACTAACAAAACCTTTGGTCTTTATATTACGAGATTAAAGGACTAAACCGCCAAACGTCAACTATAACTTTTTGGTGGTTTGAGATGATTAACAAAGCTGCCAGATCATGTAATTGGAAACCCACGTCGTATAGACTTCTAAAGCAAGCTCTCTGGCATTAGGTAAGAGCGTAGGAACTACGGTAACTGCATCATTGAGAGGGTAAATTATAATTTAACCTGCTCAATCAACACGAGCTCTGCGGTGAAGGCAAATATAATGAGGAAGCCTACATGTCCGTTAATTTAAATAATATTTCGAAGCCATTCTGTAAAATTCACCAACACGCATTGGTATAACGTGTCAGACACATTCCTTTCCCTGAAACTCTTTAAAAAAAAGAAATGGCGTATGCACACTTTTATTTGACTATCAGGAAGATAAAATCAATAGAAACATGTTAACCATGAAATAAAGGTCTTTATTTGTGTATTATACAGCTGTTAATCTTTATTTAGTTAAGTGGCGTGATGACCTTAAAAAATCTGACGCGGGATAAAACAAATATCATACCGTTCTTTTTAATTTTCTTACACTATATCGTTACTCCTTTTCTAGTGTTAGTGCAACAAGCTCATCAATTTGTTTTGTTTCAGAAATTTTTCTTCTTCGACGGTAGAAACTTAGATTATATAAAAAAGGCACCATGACGACTCCGTGGCGCAGTGGCTTAGCAATGAGTTACAGCGCTAAGGGCCGTGGGTTCGAATCCCGCACGGAACAAGTATTTGTATAGTCTACAAGTAATTGTTGGTCTAGATGTTTGTCTTTGTGCAATTTATGTTTGTAAACTGCCCCCTCGATACAGAAGAAAATTTTAGTATGAAGGTAAAGTTTCAAAATAAAATAAAAAAATATAAAAAAGGCAGATGGTGCGCTGAACAAACACTGTGAGGTCGTCATTAAAATATGTGTGAGTGTGAGTGACAACCACGTGACAGCACCGAAAGAAGAAACACGTGCGTAAATGTAAGTAAATTCAAGCAGTGTTATTGTATTTATCTATAGGAAATGTTTCATTTAAACCGGGTTTTATTGAAATAGAATGTTTTTCCCGTATAGTAGAAGTAATTTACATACATAAATTGCCCACCAACAAAAACCCAAACACGAAGCAATTATTTGTGTGTAGATACCTACCATAATTAAATAATTTAAGCGAAATTCGCAAACCCCTTATACAAGAGTTTTTTTTTTATTATAAGCTATTACGTGGAATGGTAAACGGGAATATTAGTGATATATAGTAAACAACAACAACAACAAAATGTTCAAATCGTTAGAAGAATTTATATATGACAATAGAAAAAACTTTTTTGCATTACATTCCCATGAATTTAACAATTGTCGGCTTCCAACTTTTTATCGGTGTACCTCTAAGTAGAAAAAAAAATATTTTAACTGGCCACACTAGCCTCTTTCATTAAGGACGTAGTTACATTTTTGACATACCCAAAATTTAGATATTATTCTGGCGCACATTACACGCTCATGTAGGCTGTCAGTTGTACAGCAATCACGGTTGTGATTGACGAATAACCTACCGTGTAATGCAGTGATTGACGCCTGCATGAGCACGTAATGTACGCCTATCAGTCGCCATCCGTTTTACATGATTGATGGAATTTATTGACACCTGCATGAGCGTGTAATGTACGCCTTGTATGTAATTACTCTAAAGAGATATTCGAATTGCAAGCTGAATTACGCATGCGCACATTGAACAAATTTTTCGCTAAATTTTATATATTATACATAACTAAACTTGATACTTATTCAGACCAACAAAGGAAGAAAGACGGATCGCTACCTACATTTCAGGTGATACTGACACGCCCTCTCGTATAAATGTATTTCTTTCTTTATCAGCCCGTAAAGTTTATTTTTTGATACCCACATGGACGCACCTAAAGCCGTCTTAATGGTTGAAAATGATTTTAGATGCATACATGTACGTGACTGCGTGTTCTTGCAATGAGGTGACCATAGTTTTGGCGTGGTTATTTGCAACCCTTGAAATGTACGCAGCGCTCCGTTTTTCTTTCTTCGTTTGGTATGAGGATACTTAAAGTATTATTAATTTTACAAGTATTAAGTAAAGTTAGTTGGCGAAACTTTGCAATCGCGTTTGTTGTCTAATGATAATAATGTTCATATTATTTGTGAATTTGAGAGTGGGTTGCGGGTTCAGCATTATTACAAAATTATTTTGTACAGGACGACGACATACGGGAGTGCACGAGTTGGCTTGCTATTGTACCGTACAAGTACCGATAATATCTACGTGTGTGAGTGAGGAATCTTTCTTTATTACAAAATTATTTTGTACAGGACGACGACATACGGGAGTGAACGAGTTGGCTTGCTTTTGTACCGTACAAGTACCGATAATATCTACGTGTGTGAGTGAGGAATCTTTCTTTATTACAAAATTATTTTGTACAGGACGACGACATACGGGAGTGAACAAGTTGGCTTGCTGTTGTACCGTACTAGTACCGATAATATCTACGTGTGTGAGTGAGGAATCTTTCTTTATTACAAAATTATTTTGTACAGGACGACGACATACGGGAGTGCACAAGTTGGCTTGCTGTTGTACCGTACAAGTACCGATAATATCTACGTGTGTGAGTGAGGAATCTTTCTTTATTACAAAATTATTTTGTACAGGATGACGACATACGGGAGTGCACGAGTTGGCTTGCTGTTGTACCGTACAATTACCGATAATATCTACGTGTGTGAGTGAGGAATCTTTCTTTATTACAAAATTATTTTGTACAGGATGACGACATACGGGAGTGTACGAGTTGGCTTGCTGTTGTACCGTACAAGTACCGATAATATCTACGTGTGTGAGTGAGGAATCTTTCTTTATGAGTTCATTTAATTTTCAATAATAGTTATTAAACATTCTCACTCTTATCATTAAAGATTACCTTGGCAAACCTTTTCCAATGATGTCCAACATGATGGATGTAATTCTTATTTGGAGATGCATGTAACATATGAAGAAATTAGGTTTAAACAAAAAAAAATGAGAAAAATTATCACTAAAATGCATAATACTTTCCTGTGCAAATTTTGGAAAAAAATCAAAAATAAAACACGTAAGGGTTTGCACGTAATTTCATCGGTATGTTTTACTCGTATCGGAGCTACGATCACTTAGATTCATTTATCTCATTGGTCAACTAGCTCTGGAGGTAAG